CATGGTTTGGGTGATAATGAGAGTACATTTTATTTTCTGTGCTGGGTGTTCCTGACTGATAGATCGTTTGGGGGTCTGGAACGAGCACCTGCGATCTCCTAGGGCCTTCATGGCCTGTTCTAGGAAGGCTGCTTCAAGGAAGCAGCTGGAAGGACAGGTAGAACAGGAGGCAGTGTCTTCACCTGCTATAACGTGCTGTGTCTTTGCAGAAAGGAGAAGCTGATGCCATGAGCTTAGATGGAGGCTTCGTCTACATAGCGGGCCAGTGCGGTCTAGTGCCTGTTCTGGCAGAGAACTACAGTAAGTGGAGTGGGTGCCTCTGAGTGTTTTATTTCCTCTGGGCCAGTGAGAAGAGATGAGAAAATCATAGCCTGATTCACACCACAGTGGCCATAAAGCTCTTACTTACTGAGCACCTCCTACTTCCTGGCTCTGGGCTCCCCGCTCATCTCTAATCCCCACAGTCATCTCAAAGGACAGAATCTTCTATCATACCTTCCATCAGGGGGATAGGAGGCTTGGAACTGGGAAGTTCTGACTAAAAGTGACCTCTCTGCATGGGGTGCCTGGGTGGCTTAGTCAGTTAATCGTCCGACTTTCGCTTAGGTCATGATCTCACGGTTCGTGGGTTCGAGCCCCGCGTTGGGCTCTGTGCTGACTGCCAGCTCAGAGCCTGGAGCCTATTTCAGTCTGTGATTCCCTCTCTCTCTGACCCTCCCCTGCTCACGCTGTCTCTCTCTCTCTCCTAGAAATAAATAAAACATTAAAAAAAATAAATTAATTAAATAAATAAAAGTGACCTCTCTGCAGAGGACAGCTGGGATTCTCAGCTGGGATTCCTGGAAGGTCTTCTTGCTTCCCCAAATCACTTCTGTTGTCTCAGTGTAGGGATTTAAGTATAGCCGGCAAGGACCACTGTGGCCACAGGTCGAAACAGAGCAGGAAACCTGAAATGGGCAATTTTTGGCTAACTTGCAGAGGCCAGTGAGTGAAAGTGAACTTGAATTATCCAGACAGCCTGGACTGTTTGGAAACTTGGTAATATGTAGATTGCTTTCCTGGCTTTTAAAAAAAATTCTGAGCTGCACATAGAAATGGCTGACTTTCAATGAATAAATGTTTAATGACTTCTTCATTTTTTCCTCCAGAAACTCAAGGCTCTCACTGTGACAGCACACCAGAGAAAGGTGAGTTGGGACTGGTAACCTCAGGAGTTTCTTACTACTTTTGGGAAAGGGTAAGGTATATTTAAATTCAAATCAAAAGTACTTAAGGCAATAGAAGAGACCAATATTTAAAATGCAAAAGAACCATTGAAGGATGATAATTGATAATTACTTTTTTACACTTGCTAGGACTTACATGCAGGATTTCTCCTTTAATCCTATTAAGTAGGTGATATCATCCTTTAAGGATGCCATAAGTGGACCAATAGCTCACAAAGGTTACAAGTTGTCTAGGCTTCTATATCCAGCAAGCAAACTTACGCTGTCCCCACCTCCCCACCACTCCCAACTCTTTGTATTACATGAGGCCTGGACAGTTTTAGATGAGAGTTAGCACCAGGAGTCTTGCTTATATGTGCCTGGCAGAGAGGCTCACAGGCAGATGTCAAGGAGCATGAAATTATCCAGCTTCCCAGCCAGGGCTGGGCCCAGGAACTCAGGCCAGTTTGGCTCTCAGTTAATGTTCTGGTGGGGACGGATCTAGAAAAATGGGATAGGAGGGGCACCCCAGTGGCTTAGTCGGTTAAGTGTCTGACTTCAGCTCAGGTCATGATCTCACTGTTAGTGGGTTTGAGCCCCGCGTCGGGCTCTGTGCTGACAGCTAGCTCAGAGCCTGGAGCCTGTCTAAGGATTTTGTCTCCCTCTCTCTCTGACCCTCCCCTGCTCAAGCTGTCTCTCTCTCTCTCAGAAATAAATAAAAAAACATTTTTAAAAAAGAAAAAAAAGAAAAATGGGATAGGAACAAGACTGAATTTCTGGCCAAGGTGATCACTGGGTCCCAGAGCTCCAGTGCTCAGACCTCTACAGCCATTTTCCAGCCATTAGTGCACAAGTCTGTCCTTGCAACTTCCTTGGTATAACCTTTCAGCCTCTCCCCCTTATTCAAGGAGCCAGACTCTTTAGCTGAAAATCTTACTCCACAGATAAGGCTTCTCTGTTTTCTGGTGTTAACAGTTGACTGAATTAATTAAACTGGAAAGTTGAAATCAGGAGTTGATACTCTATTCACAGTTTAAGGAGTAGCATGTATTTCCTGCTACAGATGGCAGTTGACTTGATTTTTCTACTTCACATACTTATTTTGGTACAAACCTGTATTCTCTTTATGGCCAGAATATTCCCTGCAGTTTATCTGGTCATTTACTACTCTTTCCTAATTTGACTGTATAAAATGTTGGAGTCACATGTGTTCTTCAGTATCCATTCCTCTGATATTCCACAGTGGATGGTGAGTTGCTGGCTTATAACTTTAGTAGTTTTATGCATTTATACCCACTTATATACCAACCATTGCTCTGATGATGATATTTTCTTACTATTTTGTTTTTTAAGTTCAGAATAATCTCCATCTGACAGAATGACTGGTACTTCATCTCAGTCTTGCTTTTTAATTTTATAAAATTAATCTATTTATTTCGAGAGAGCGAGAGAGCGCGCGCGCGCGAGAGAGATCATGAGTGGGGGGAGGCAAAGAGAGAGAGGGAGAGACAGAATCCCAAGCAGGGCCTGCACTGTGAACACAGAGCCTGACATGGACTTCAAATTCATGAACCTTGACATCATGACCTGAGCCAAAATCAAGAGTCAGACACAAAAACAACTGAGCCACCCAGGCACCCCTTGTTTTGTTTCTTGTAAGTAGGCTCCATGCCCAATGTGGGGCTTGAATTCATAACCCTGAGATCAAGAGTTGCATGCTCTACTGACTGAGCCATCCAGGTGCTACATCTCAGTCAGTTATTGGGAAGACCCTTTCTTTTTTTAATTTTTTTTTTTAATGTTTTTTTATTTATTTCTAGGAGAGAGAGAGAGAGACAGCATGAGCAGGGGAGGGTCAGAGAGAGAGGGAGTCACAGACTGAAACAGGCTCCAGGCTCTGAGCTGGCAGTCAGCACAGAGCCTGACGTGGGGCCCGAACCCACGAACCGCGAGATCATGACCTAAGCGAAAGTCGGACGCTTAACCGACTAAGCCACCCAGGCGCCCCGGGAAGACCCTTTCAAAGGCAGAAGGAATGATTCAGGATAATTTTGCTTCCATAGGGAAATGGCAGATTTCGATTGCAGACAGACACTCTGGAAGGCCCAAAGGTGTTAATACTTTCTTTTTTGGTGTCTTTCTTATAGGATATCTTGCTGTGGCTGTGGTTAAAACATCAGCAGATGCCTCCCTCACCTGGAACAATCTGCAAGGCAGGAAGTCCTGCCACACTGCAGTAGACAGAACTGCTGGCTGGAACATCCCCATGGGCCTGCTCTACAACAGGATCAACAGCTGTGAATTTGGTAAGTGAATTTTGGGAGGGTGCTGTGATCAGGGCCAGGCTGGAAATAGGTATTCTAGAAATGAGTGGTTTTGTGCAAAAATGCTGTGGCCCTGGTTTTAAAACAGTAAAATTTGATTAAAATGAACCTTAAGGAGATATCTAAAAGGGACACAAGGGCTGGGGAGCTAAATAAGACTGGTTCTTTTTAGTTGCACAAAAGGCTTAAGTAAATATATGTTTACTTCTCTCTTTCATGAAAAAACCAGAGGTGAGCAGTCCATGGCTGCTATGGTCACTAGAAGCCCAGGCTCCTTCTCTCTTTCTGCTCCACCATTCTGAGCATGGGGCCTCTGTCTGCAAGGTCAACCGTGGTAGCCATCACATCCATAATTCAGGCAGCCTCAAGGAGCAAGGAATAAAGGCAACTTGAAGTGTAATGCCACCTGCTACCACTTTATTAAAGGAGCTATCCAGGAAATCTAAATCAATTACTTCAAGTAACTTCTCATTGCTCAAAACTCAGGCACACAGTCACACTTAGCTGTAAAAGAGGTTTGAGAATGTCATCTTTTATTTGGGCATGTTTCTGTCCCAAATAAAACTAGAACTTTGTTCGAAAATTAAAAATAGAACTACCTATGATCTAGCAATTTCACTTCTGGGTATTTATCCAAAGGAAATGAAGGCACTAATTCAAAAAATTATATTCATCTCCAAGTTCATTGCAGCAGTATTTACAATAACCAAGACATGGAAACAGCCTAAGTGTCCACTGAAGAACAAATAGATAAAGAAAGTTTAAGATATATATATATATATACACACACATAAAACACTTGTATTCAGCCATGAAAAAGGAAGAAATATTGCCATTTGCAATAACATGGATGGACCCTGAAGTTATTATACTTAAGTGAAGGAATTTAGGTAGAGAAAGACAAATACTGCATAATCTCGCTTATATGTGGAATCTAAAAAATCCCAAGCTCATAGATATGGAGAACAGATTGACAGTTGCTAAAGGTGGGGGGGCGGGGCAATGGGGAAAATAGGTGAGGGGGCGAAAGATACAAGCTTCTAGGTATAATCTAAATAAGTCCTGGGAATGTAATGTACAGCGTGGGGACTATAGTTAATAAAACTGCTGCATTTTTCAAAGTTGCTAAGAAAGCAGATCTTAAAATTCTCATCACATGAAAAAAAATTTTGTGACAATACATGGTGATGGATGTTAACTAAACTTATCGTGGGGATCATTTTGCAATATATTGCTACAGCAAATCATGTTGAACACCTGAAACTAATATGTAAACCATCTCCCAACTATCTCCCAATAAAAAATAATGGAGAAAAAAAAAAACGAACTAGATCTTTGTGACTAAGGAATAAGGGGAAATGGCTGTTGGGTGGACAGTACAATCCCTGCCACTGGGATTTCTAGGTAATGTGAGTGTGTGGGATCTTTGAATCTCTTTATGGTCTTGGCAGTTTCACTGCCAGCTCTCAGGCTCTTTCAAAGGGGTGAAAATCAGTTTACTCTCTGTGTCCACTAAGTATCTTCAGGTATGAGTTTAGTTCTGCCGCTGGAATATGTATATGTAAGTTAACCATAGACAAATTATTTTCTAATGGTTATTTGCATCAACTTCCTGAGTACTTCCTCCTTGCCACGTCCAGATATGTGTAACTGCTTTAAAAGGAAAGGCCTCTAAAGACAGTTATGAACCAGACAAGTCCTGTGTGTGAGGACTGGGAGATTAGACTACATTTCTGCGCTGGGGTGTTCTCTGACAGCAATTTGAGAGGAAGCAAAGTGTGGCTGGGATGATACCCAGGAAGCTCTGGCTCCCCACCAGCAAGGGCACTACCTCTGCTCTCCTGAGTTTCCTGGAAGTTTCACAGCCATCAGAGAGCAGCTGAGCTGTGAATAAGCAACCCCCATCTTAATTGAGTTTGGAGTTCTAAATTCTATTAAAGTCTCTTTTAAAAAGTAGCAATGGAAGGAAAATCTTGAAAACAGGTGGCACAAGCTCAGGGAGTAAAACCTTTTTATGTCAGTTTTATCCCCTTTTATGTCAATTTTCATGTCATTTCCTTCTCTTTTTAGATAAATGATGACACTATCAGGGAGCCCGTGGAATCCTCTCCACCTGACTTGTAATGCTCTACTGACTTCTATTCCCAGCGTCAATTAAGTTTTCTTTTAAAGCCTGGAGCCTGGCAGATCCTGACTTGGTGGCGTGGGGTCACAGAATGATTATGTTCCACTTATCCTGGGCCATACACACCTGTTATGTGTTAGATGAAGGCTACTCATTGGTTCAGGAAGAGCTGACTTCCTCTTGTCTTTCCACACAGATAAAATTTTCGATCAGAGCTGTGCTCCTGGATCTATGCGAAATTCCAGTCTCTGTGCTCTGTGTGTTGGCTCGGCAAATATGCCAGGAAAGGAGTGTCTTCCCAATAGCCATGAGAGATACTATGGTTACACGGGGGCTTTCAGGTGAGTCTTTTAATCCTGACACAAATATAATGATAAACCCAGCCCTGGCAAGATTGCTTTTGAGGAACTCAAGTGAGATTGTTATGTTCCTGGCCTGTTAGTCTTGCGTGTATTAGGGTGCCACATTTAGCAACTACATTTGAACCCTGTGTGAAGGAGCATCCAAGCACCCAAGGACATGATCTCCAGAACTGGCTGTCATAGCAAAGACTGACAGTACTGTGCAGATTAGGAGATCTCGATGGGGGGGGGGGGGGCGCGGGGAGGGGTCCCCTCAGAGGAAATTTGGCAGTGTCTGGAGATGTTTTTGATGATCAAATGGGACTGGGGGGAGGGTGCTACTGGCTCTAATTGGTAGAGGCTGCTAAACATATTACACACACAGGACAGCATCCTACAAGAAAGAATGGTATGGCTCAAAATGTCATTACTGCGAAGGTGAGGAAACCCTGCCAAGGTTGAATACAGGAGTCAGGAGTCTGGCTCATGCTTTTCCAGGCGCCCACCTCTGGGGAACCTATAGGCATACTCACCTGGAAATATACAAAAGTAACTTACATGATTCCTACATTCCCAACTGCATTTGTTATTTATATAAAGATGTCTGTGCACCTTATGACCTTATTGCTTTTTAACTGTCTTTTCTAATTCGGTCTTGTGTTAGTAGTTCATGAGTCCATCAACTGCACAATAATGGTGGTATTCTAACTGAACTTCTCAGTAGTGAAGTAGAAAAGAAAGGGTATCCTAATTCTCCGGTTAGAGCCACCTTGTGAGTTAGTGCAAATACAATTCACAGTCCACAGATTCCCAGTTTTTACAAAGTAGAGTGTGAGTAAGAAGTCACTGTATTGGGACACTGTCCCTCAAATATCTCCAGGGAAATGCTGTAGCTCTATTGGAGAAACTATGCCAGAACTTAGCATTCAGTGTATGGAAATGAGACTGTATAACCACAAAGCTAATTGGAGGTTTTGTTTTCTTTTCTTTATTACTTATATTAGTAATATGTAAGATTAGTGATAGAATGGGAGTCACAATTGCTGGTATCAGATGGCTAGCCCTGGATCTATAAAGTGGCCCTCCTGAATAACAGATGTGTCTCTCTGACCTTCTCTTTTCTCTTTCTCTCTCTCTCTCTCTCTCTCTCTCTCTGACTCTCTGCAGGTGTCTGGTTGAGAAGGGAGACGTGGCCTTTGTGAAAGACCAGACTGTCATAGAGAACACTGACGGTATGTTTGTGTGCTCCTCTGTTCCCACAAATTGGGGTTGCTGGGTTCACTTATGGTCAGGATGCCTTTGTGGAGTGTATGTACTCTGTAAGGCTCCAGAGCTCTGACCCTTGGCCTGTTTTTTCAGTGAAGAGAGAAGTGTTCACCTGGGTAGGCAGAATGGTACAGACCATGAGGTTCTTCTAGAGGCCCTGATTTCTCTCCCAGGAACCCTCCCATGGGTGCAGGCATTGCCTTTCCCCTAAATACTTCAGTGCACACTTCGTAGGAATGAGGACATTTTCTTACATATATACATTATAATTACCAAGATCAGGAAATTGATATTAACATGCATTTAATATTCACCATGTTCACAGCATGAATTATCCCCAAAAGGTCCTTTTTAAACTATTTCCTATATTTCTGGGTCTAATATATATATTCCAAATATATGCTAGGTCCACTGAAAAAAACCTAGAGACAATAGTACACCAGTGGGGATGAACACCAAGATCTTGGCTTCTAGAACCATTCTCCAATAGAAAGAGCCAGGGGCCCTTGGAAAAATAGCTGATTCTAGGGCTGGGACAGGAGAGATATAAGGTGAGCCTGGAACATCATGCTGAAGATTTTGGGATATATCAAAATATACAGGAGCCATTTTTAAGGATCCCCCCCCCACTGGCCAAGTCTGGGACATTTTGAGCACTAGAAGAAATAATAATGGTATTAAGATAATGACTTGTTGAATAAAATGGGAATACAGGATAATAATATCCTGTTTAAGCAAATGAGGATGAAGGGAAAGATCTTCCTTAGCGTAGAACAAGAACAAATGGAGGAATACTGCAATTATAAAGTTAAAAACACTATCATTTGCCAAACAATACAGTAATAATTGTTTCAAGCAAGAATCATCAATGGGAACTAAAACTAATGGGTGGATACTAGATGCTGTAACATTAAAAAAAACCTAGCAAAAATGTTTTTTAAAAGTTAGTAAGAATGAGCACTCCACCTGCCCCTGCCTGTCACTAACCTGCTACAGTCCAGGTAGGTATTACCTCGCTTCCTTTCTCACGTCCTTTCACCAAACCCCAGATCATCCCAGCAACTCATCTAGAATGAACTAGCTTAGCACCAGCTCCTCTGAGAATCCTTCCCAGTGGCATAACCCCATCCCACAACAGAATTTTCTATCCATATGACTAGTTTTATTGGGTTCATCTCATTCTGTAATACACCGTTGCTACAGAAACTCTTTTCGCTCTTTTTTCCCTTCTTTTATACCCCAACACTACGATAAGTGGCACAACAGAAGTTGCTAAGTACTTACTTGAAGGACTATTGTGTTGGCTAATTTTTCTTTCTTTTCTCCTATTACTTTTGCTTTTTCCTTTAAAGGCTGCCCTTTTTCCTATGTCTCGAGTATTACAAGATTGGTTCTTTGCCACCCCTTGTTTTTTTTAATTTTTTTTCCTTTGGTACTCTTCTGAGTAGGGTTTCTCTCTCTAGGTCTCACCTCTGCACCCTGTGATGACTCCAAAAGCCTTACCCGCTGAGGAGAATGTAGAGCAGAGGCCTAACCTCCCTTCTAAATGACACCCTGGAGTCTCTATTTGCCATGTGGTCACTTTTATATACAAAGTTCACTGGCACTGCAACCTTAACCTCTAGGAGTCCAAACTCCTCCCATTTTTCTCAAAATCCACTCCTCTTTCAGCCTCTATTCCTTTTGAGGGCTTTATCATCTGCCCTGACATTGGGCCTAGCGTAGTCTCCTGGTCTGTGTGTAACACAGGTTACACATGTAAAACTGTGCCTCCTCCAGCCAGCTCTCCCTAATGAATATGATCTCACCAAGCTGCTTCTCCGCTCACATAGCGTTTAGAAATAGAAACAGAAAATGTTAGGGGTGCCTGGGCGGCTCAGTCGGTTAAGCCTCCAAATTCGGCTCAGGTCATGATCATGTGGTCCGTGAGTTTAGGACCGCATCAGGCTCTGTGCTGCCAGCTCAGAGCCTGGAGCCTGCTTCAGATTCTGTGTCTCTCTCTCTCTGCCCCTCCCCTGCTCTTGCTCTCTGTCTCAAAAATATATAAACGTTAAAAAAAATTTTAAATATTTAAAAAAAAGTAAAAAAGAAAATGTTATTATCTGCATCTGGAATTGTTGCTTTTGGTATGTGTGCTATTTCCCCCTCTAATAAGACTGTCTTACAGAGGGCAGACAACATAGTATTGAATAAATACTTAAATTATGAAGTAGAACAGAATTGGTTTGGAGAGAATGATGGTGGGTTTAATTTGGAGGGAGCTGAGTTGAAGGGACTGGTAAGAAAGGGCAGGATAAATAAATGTTAGAAGGTGAGCAAAGATGTGTACAGTTACTCATGAGAGAGATGCAAGCAATTTGGAGTTTTCTATTAAAACTGTAAGTCTATATTTAGGGAGAGTGGGAAAAGAGGTATTTTTTCTTTACATATAAATAATGTACAGCTTAATGATAGCTAATTCATGCATCAGTTGTTCAATTAAATAAAATTAAAGGAAAATTAAATTAAGAAAAAGCTTGCCTTTTAGATGAGAAGTAAAAACTAGGAAACTATATTTATTTGAGAATTGCCTCAGGAGGAAGGAGTGGAAACCTTGAAAATGGGTGAGATTTTCTTTTTTTCAGGGAGAATACAGAAACAATGATGGAGCTGAGAACAGGATATGGACCTGTATGCAGAGAAGCATGTGCACATTTCATGTAGAACCAGTATGAGCATGTCAGATTTAGAACACTGGTCCAGCTTACAAAATGGCCCCTGGGGAAGTTCTTTTGTTTGCTGATGTCAGATTGCATTGCACAGAGGGTCACCTTCTTCCTGTGCTAAAGCAAGAAGTCCAGATGTTTTGGAATTTACTAGAATTAAAGATGTCTCTGAACATCATCCACAGAATATATTTCGCTTTCTCCTAGTTGGGTGGTGCAGGTTGGAAGGGGTAGTCATTAGGAATTCTTAGTTGAGTGTTGAATCTGTTGAATTGGACCTATATACATGTGAGTGTCTCTTCCTCTCCACACCACTGTGACCCTAGTGTGTGCACTTCTGCTGGCCAATGGCTCAAGGTCAGGTCCTTCACATGCCAGTGGGTTGGTTATGTCCCCTCAGTGAGGGTGCCTGACCAAAGCTATCAGCTGTGGCTGACCTACCTTCTCTGTCCCCAGGAAAAAACAATGAAGATTGGGCTAAGAATCTGAAGATAGGTGATTTTAAGCTGCTGTGTCCTGATGGCACGAGGAAGAATGTGGAACAGTATGACAACTGCTACCTAGCCCGAGCCCCGAACCATGCTGTGGTCTCACGGAAAGATATGGCAGCTTGTGTTAGGGAGACGTTAATTGAGCAGCAGGTATGGACAAGCCAGGACCTCCCATTCTTTCTTCCTGGGTGTGTGTGGATTATTTGGGGGAGTTCAGTGCTAAGCACAGCTGCCACTCCAGCATTCTCTTTCTGGAAACTAGAATTGGGAGGCTGTCGATTGTGGAACGGGATCTCCCAGGCCCAGGTCTGCTTGTATCTCCAGGTCACTAGAGATTAGTTCCCATGTGATCCACTGGTTCTTGGGTCCATGCATCTACTTTCTTGTTCACCCTTAACCTTGCTCTGTGGTACTCTCGTTTTCTCTACTTCTATCCTTTTTCAAAATGAAGGAGAGTAATCCTATGTCCCAGCCCTGCTTGATATGTCATGAAAGGTGGACTGTATTTCTCTTGTTTAGAGAGACTGAGAACCATTTCAACAGCCAGAAAAACACAGGACCTCCATCCTCAGGGATCTTGTCCTCTGGGGAGAACAAGCAACCCATGGGCAACCTTGTTGTGGGGTGGGGAGAGGCTGCCTGAGTATTCTAATCCTGAGAATCCTCTACCCACAAACAACAGCTCCTCTTTCTCCTCAGCAACAGCTTCCTGCCTGCCATTAGTTTTCTTTAAAAAACAAAATGAAGATAGCATATTTTCGTGAGTCCTCTTAAGGTAGATGATAATAATAATGAGCATTTAATGAACATTACTTAGGTGCTAGATGGAACGTTAAACTTTTTGTAATTATCATTTCACTTACAATCCTACAAGGCCTAGAGTTAAGGCTCTTGCCCAAGACAGGATCAAAGATGCAGTCAAACATGAAATTTAACAATTATCTGTACCACCCCTTGTTGTGCTCACGTTTAACATCTTCTTTGATAGTAAAGCTTGGAAAGAACATGTTTCTGTCCTCTCAGTTCCTGGAAGCAGACCCCGAGGCCACAGTCAATGAAGTGGGGAAGAGATCGGGGAAGTCAGGGGTGACTAGGTGGGTGGGAGGGACTTCCCAGAGGAGGTGAGACTAGGATGGACCCTACAGAAGACATTGGGGCCTCATGAAAGCATGAAAGTAGGGCCAAAATGGGTGGATGCCAAGCGAGGGATATGGAAACATCCTGAGGTATCCTCTGCAGCTTCCCTTTCTTCCCCAGGGCTGGTTGCCAGCTTTCATTCCCCTCAGCCTGATCCTTGCCTTCTCAGCTGCTCCCTGCCACACGCCCTCATGCATTTTCCCTCCATCTGACAGGCTTTGTTTGGAAAAACTGGAAATGACTGCTCGACCAAGTTCTGTATGTTCCACTCAGACACCAAGGACCTTCTATTCAAGGACGACACAACATGTTTGGCCAAACTTCCAGAAGGCACGACATATGAATCTTACTTAGGAAGAGAGTATGTCACGGCTGTTGCTAACCTGAGACAATGCTCCACCTCAAGTGAGTAGGAGGAACAGAAAGGGGGAAGCTGCCAAGCAAACATGGGTGGGGTTCCAGGTGGTGAGTAGAAAAGCAAGAGTGGGCTGTGGCCCTCTGGGGATGTCCAATAGACAAGACGAGATGATGAGAGAACACCGTAATCCCAGCACATGTGAAACGCTTCCTGTAGGGGCAGATGGTAAGGTGGAGACAGGCTCAGGGTACTAAGGCAATGAACTGCCCAGACATGAAGAATTCCATGGTATTACTAGGAAAAGGAAGAGGTTGTATGTACCCAATGCTCATTCTCTGCAGTAAACTCCTTTTTAAAAATTTTTAAAAATTGTTTATTTATTGATTTTGAGAGAGAGAATCCCAAGCAAGATCCACATGTTGAGCCCGACATAGGGCTCAATCTCACGACTGTGAGATCATGACCTGAGCCAAAATCAAGAGTGGAATGCTTAACTGATTGAGCCACTCAAGCACCCCTACTAAACTCCTTTTTATATAGAGCTGCACTGTTCAACATAGTAGCCTCTAAATATCTATGGCTATTTAAATTTAATTAAAATTAAACAAAATTTAAAAATTTAGATCAATTAAAATTAAACAAAATTAAAAATTTAGTTCCTCAGCTATACCAGCCCAATTCAAGCGTTCAGTAGCTACATGTAGCTCCAGATAGTGAGCAAACAGAACATTTCCATCATCACAGAAAATTCCCTTACACAGCACTGCTTTTGAGAACTTGAACAATGACAAGTTTTATAGCCATAAAGTTGCTATACCTACTGCTCATTGAGAACACCAGTTTTCTAAGACTTAAAATCACAATAAAACACACCTTTGCACTATAACTATGCTGGACATCACTGAATCCCTTGAAGTCATTTGGAAGATGTGGGAGAATAACATATGGATGGAGGGAGGTTATTCTCTAACTCCTGTGTGCATACAAGTGAGCCATGGTCCTTAAAATACTGATTCATAGCCCTGGGGATACTGATTCAGCAGGTCTGTGCCAGGCTCCTATAGTTCCAACGTAAGGACCGTGCTTACCCACAGCCACTGTTGTGAGCACCCAGGTTACATTTACCTAACCTATATCTTCCATAAGGGGAGAAAGTCTGGGTTTGCTATTCTCTGCTCCTTCACCAGCCCCTAGCTTGGAAACTGGCATGTTCTAGGTTCCTTACCTGACTAAAGAGGTCAGAGAGGAGTCCCACCAGGCTCCTTCCAGCTACATGGATTTAGGTGTGGGAACCCTGCCTATAAGACACAGGTGGGGGATGATACAAGGCAGGAAAACCATGTTACCATCCTTAGTGCACAGTGTTGCCCAGAAAGACAAAGGACCTTAGTGCACAGTATTGCCCAGGAAAGACACTTGGGCAGGCAACTGGAGAAGGCCACTGGGAGAATGGCCTAGTCCACCCATAGACCCCTAGTGAGTCTGAGAGAATCAGGCTTAACTGTTCATTCTGTTTTGTATCAGGCTTAACTGTTCATTCACCCAACAGAAAATAAATATAAATAGATTTTGACTGTCCTACCTCTCTTCTCTGCTCCACAGAACTCCTGGAGGCCTGTACTTTCCACAAAGATTAAAATTCAAGAGGTGGAGCCACAGCAGATGGAGGTGGGAGCTCATGTGACCCATACCCATAAGCTTCCCTTTGGGTCCCGCTGGCTTGAGTGGTTTGTTTGGCTTCGCAGTTTGGCGGTTGTACCTCTGCAGAGCATAAAATAAAAATTATTATTGGTGTTATCTTTTAAAAACTTCATTCTTTTCTAAATGTTTGGCTTGGAAGGATTTGTTTTTAAATACTACCTGACTAAATACATTTGCAACTGTGCCCTTCTTTCAGAGCTCAAGTTCATCTGATGTCTTCCACAGCTTTGATTGTGGTGCCACAGCCACAGTCCAAGTAGGAATTCTTTCTGAAAAGGGTCTTCATGGTCACTGTAACAGAATCAAGTGTATGTGGCTGTGCGTGTGTGTGTGTGTGTGTGTGTGTGTGTGTGTGTGTGTGTTAGCAGGGAGGAGGCAGGAAGCAAAATGCTGAATGAGTTATTGAAATGGAGTGTTCAGTGGAGTACGGCTATTTTTGCCTTGAAAAAAATAGAAGATTTATATATTTAAAAAAATTTTAATGAATTTTATCAGGTATATGTGAGGTCCTGATTCTAACGGGTTGGAAAAGTGAATTCCTGGAACATCTGAAAATTATCACTTGATTCTGATTTCCACAGCAGTCACTGCCCTATCTCCTTTCCTTCTGAAAGGTGGAGGCTCACTCTTTCCATGCCTCACTTATTAAAAGCTCAACACACAGAAATCAGTTTTCTGTTCTACTCACTTCCCTGCAGCTACCTTGGCCAATGTTACGACCTATCTGCCATCTGTAAAAACCAATTTTAATTCTTTCATTCTTAAGTCTGTTTACTGCACTTGCTATGGCTGACTGCTCACTCTTCCTGGAAACTCTCCCCAACTTCTCGGACATGGCAGCTGTCTGCTTTGGCTCCTATCCCTCTCTGTCCATTTGTGGTCTTACTGTGGGCTCATCCTGCCAGCCCTGAAGTTGTAGGGACATCTTCCTGGGCTTCTTTCCTTGATCCAATGCTCTTCTCACTTTCTAGCTAACACCCCCCCCCCCAGCCCCAAGCAATGTGAATGACTGGGCCACCTACATCTATAAGTGTATTCCTGGCCCCTGCTCCAGCGTTCCCAAATTCCTACCTCTTCCTGCCTATGGATCTGTACTACACTGTTCTCACAGCAATCAGAAGCCCGACAAATAGAAAACAGAGGGGATCATCTTGCTCCTTCCCTCTCCTGCTTCCATAACTGTCCAGCTGTCATTTCCATATATTTCACAACAGCTGAAGACACAGTCTTCTATCTGCTCACAGGAGTCATAAACCAAGGAGTCAAATTTCAATTCATTGTTTTCCCTCACTCTGTGTCCAATGCCAGCAGGTTCTGTTGATTTTGCCTTCTAAGCAACTCTCCAGTTTGCCCCTTTATTACTTCACTCCTACTACAGCCTCAGTTTACATTCGGGCAGAGCCATAGATGGGGGATTTCTGGACACAGTAGTTCATATCTCTAACAGAATGCTGGGTCCGCTTTGCAGTCAAGACCTGATGTTGACCTTTTTATACACAGCTTTGAGTCTATCAACACCCTGCCTTATTTGATGTTCACCTAAACTCAACCCTTACCCTAAATCCTATAATAACTCTTTACATTTGTTTGGTTGAAACAGTTCCTCTGGGGTCTTATTGCAATAAGCCAACAAAGCTAATTTTTGTCAACAATGTGCTGAGTGTCTACCACAAGCCTGACACTGTTCTAGTGACTGTAAATGCAGCTATGCATACTATAGACTCTTAAAATGATTTCTGCTTATTTGATTTATTCCTCTCTCTAGACTGTCTTATCAGTATAGATGTACAGAAAAATGTCTGAAGTAATGTTCATCAGATACTACAGGCATAAATCTGACGTGATTTGTAGCTTTCTTTGATCTTTCATAATTCCTTGGATTTTTAATATGTCACACGTCTCATTTTAATTCTTTTAGAAAAATCATCTAAGCATTTTTTTTTCCAAAGAAAGAAAGAGGTAACCCAGAGTATGGGAATCACATGATTGGTGTCCCCAAGTCTGAGATCATTTCCATTGTGCTTTGGAGCTATTGGGAGTAGAAGAAGAGGGAAAAATGTGTCTGGAGAATGAGATTTTTAATTAATGGAAGAGAGGGAAAATGGTCTCACTATGTTTGTGTCATTATAACTCTCTTCATTTGCCATTTGAATAAAAAAGCAGAGCACTTTTAGCAAGCAGCAGTCAGTATCTGCCTGTCCTTTCTCTAGGTTCATCTCCACACACCTCCTGGAAGCATGTGTTGATGGAGATGTGAGAGGACAGGAAACGGCTGATCCCCTCCTGCTCTCATTCCTAAGAATGGCATTTCTTCTGCCTTTACCCAGGAAACATACTGGGGAAAAAAGTCTGTGTCTTGTTAAACAATTCTTTCGTCATTCCCAAATTTTACCACCAAGGCAGCTCTTCTTCATTCACATAGCTCTGACCAAAAATTCTTATACAGTTAGTACAGTTATGGTGAGCAATCTCCTATTTGCCCCTTCCTCCTTCCCTGCATTTTTGCTCCTCACAGAGGAAATAATGGTTATTATAAAGGACCTATGTGGGGGTGTGTGGGGGTGTGTGGGGGAGAGGGGTGTGGGTATGTGTGTGTGCACGCATGCATTGGGTAGTAGACACTGAGCAGGAACCAGGACCATAAGAAAGAAAAAAGAGAATGTGGGAAAATTATTGTCAGTTCTGATAGTTTTAATTGTTAATGCTAATTTAAAATAAAGTAGCTAGTTTACTTTCTTTAGCCTCACATCCTAAAAATCCTTTCTTAATCTGGAGTGACTATTGCCTACATTTATCAACGGAATGCCTGGAAAATGAGTTGTACTATGCTAGAGCATATAGTTAAGCATAAAGGAGCCCAACTGCCTGGGCTTAATGGATAAGTTACTTAACCCCCGCCTCAGTTTGCCTCTGTAAAATTGGAATAATGGATCACTGTGAAGATTAAACAAATTAATAAATTAAAATTATTTAAAACAATGTTTGGCACTAGCAAGCACTCATTGGTGTTGACAATAATCTTCATTACCCACTCTCTTCTCTGTCTGCCACAATTCTGCTTCCATACCACACCCCTACCCCCACACTTACCTCACTGTTCCCTCTGAGCTCACTTTTCATTCAAGCCCCTCTGTTACAAGACATGCTGCTGACCACTTCCAGGATATGTTTTACCCCTTTGTCACTGATTTTTCCTTCTTAGGCTTCTCTGCATGTTCCTTTCTCCTCACTTTCCATTCTCTCCATGATTTTAATGACATTAAATTATGGTTAACACTAAGGTGAAAATATAGCACCTATTGCTGAAACTTTACATTTGTTTACTGGACCACCAGCTTAATATAAGATTTCAGAATTCTCAGATGTGGCAGACTATGAGTCTGGAGTTCATTCTGTCTTGTCCAGTAAGAGAGTGGACACAGAATGGAATATGAGAGAGGCTAATGGCCGAGAGGAGACAAGAGCCCCGCACAGGAGTTTCATCTCCATATTTATTGAGTGCTCAAGATCTTACCCATGTGGTGAACGTGAAGAAAACAAGGTCTTACCCACGTGGTGAACGTGAAGAAAATAAGATCTTACATATGTGTTGAATGTGAAGAATATAATCAGATAGTAATCATTAATGTGTGTGTAAGAAGTAAAGGATCTGGGGGGGCAAGTGGGGTTTGTGATGAAGGTACATTGGCACCAGATGGGAAGTAATCTCCGGCAGGTGATACAACAAGATACTCATGATCCTATCACAGTATCTGGCTACCTAACCTCGGGCACTTTTGCCCCATGGTGGCAGCTTTCCGCCCTAAGCTTTTTTCTAACCCATTTATGTAAGTAGAACCTATTTCCTTACACTCAAAGGCATCTGAAACTCAATATATATAAAACAGAAGAAGTTTTCATTCTGGTTATGCCCTCAGCCCCAAAGTCCCTCTCTAATTCACTTTATGCACTCTGATCTTTCTAGTACCCCACACCAACTGCTTCAAATGCAGTCCTGATAACCCTCCCTTTTAACTCAGCATAATTAATTAATCACCACATTCTCTATATTTTCCTTCTACACACCTTTCAAGTCTGTAGCCTCCTTTCCACACCTACCTCTGTTCCTTCAGACCCTGTGCATCTTTTGCCATAACACTGAATCAGCACCCAGCTGGTCTCCCTGCCTCAGTCTCACCTCTCTCAAATCACAGTTTTCCATTTATCTGCCAGTCATCTATATTACCCCCATTTGACACTTCTTATTGCATTCTGGATAAAGTCTAGGCTCCTCAGCATAACACACAATCCCTTCAGGTCATTCCTGCCAACCTTTCCTACTTCATCTCCTGCCACTTCTGCAGAAATGATACCAGCTTCATGACAGACTGCAAAAGGGTAGCACCTAAGCTGGCCACTTCTGGCCCCATTGGTGTTTTATTTGGGCGACACGTTGTCGTTGTTTTTTTCAATGTTTTTCATGACTTGGTGAAATTTGAAAAATGGAACATTTCCCTTTCTGGCTTCTCTGGAAAAACTGGAAGGACGGGCCACTTTGGTCCCATATATCTGCCTGGCATAGTGGCTGCCCACTCTGGACAGGAACGGCAGCTGCAGTTCTCAACAGCACCACCCCACGCTCTGATTTCCTGGTTGCTTCCCTCCATGTAGAAATCTCAGTTACAGCCCTAGATTTACGGTATAGGGGACACGGAATTGCTTATTTTCTTCTACACAGAGCTCTCTCCTTTTACATCTGCAGAGGCTAACTCATCCCTCACGCTCAGTTTCCGTCACGTTGCTCCAGGAGCTTTTCTCTGAACCTATGATAGACTAAGTGTCCCTTTCTGTACTCCCATATCGCGCCGTACATCCTCTGTCACATCCCACGCCTTATTATAGTCAGATGAAGTGTTTGTGTAGTGCTTGAGTTCCTCACAAGACTCACCTCGCAAAGGGAGTACTGGAAATCCTCAATGCAGATTTCTTAAGCCATTCATTTTATTTATCCATCATTCCATCAACAACTATGAAGAGGGTGACGGCATTTAACTCCTATATTAGGGCATAAGAATATCACTCGTGAAATACCTCTTGCTGGGTGGAAAGTGTCCATGGGAACTACAACTCCCATCAGGACTTTCGGGATCCCGGCTCCTGAAGGAAGAAATACAACATACGAACTACCACTCCCGTGATGCTCCGCTCCGGACGCCTGCGCAGAGCTCTGGGCCACGTTGCTTTCGCGACGCTGGAGAACCGCATCTCGGCCATGGCTTCTGCGGACTCGCGGCGGGTGGGGAATGGCGACAGTGTCAGGGGCGCGTTCCAGCCCTACCTAGACTCCTTGCGGCAAGAGCTGCAGCAGAGGGACCCGACCCTGCTGTCAGTCCTGGTGGCGCTTCTCGCGGTGCTGCTGACGCTGGGTAAAGAGAGGACGGTGGTTTTGGCGGGTGCACGGCGGGCGAGGTTCCGGGTTTGGACTGGGCTTTTGCAGACCGCTGACGGCTGCGAAGGCACCTGGGGGGCATCTGTAGAGGCAGAGTTACTTCTTACACCAGCCTGCCCTGTTACCTGAAGCAGCAGGAGTAGTGCAGCGTTAAAGAGGATGTCCTGTGACCCTTCGACGGCCTGGCCCTTGGGAGCACGGGTTATTCTACCTTCCTCAACTCCTTTTATGCCTGAGCGCGTGGTCCTTAACCCCACCCTCTCTTCCTTTCTTTGCTCTTATTACTAAGACTCTCGGGCTCTTCACTCCGAGTTTGCGTCCTGGGAACTGAGAATACACAGTTAGTAAGACAAGATTGCACTGGAGTCCACAGTCGGGATAGGGGATGTAGACACAGGAAGGTTGACAGTTGAGAGTGGCTGGCACTCAGTGGAGTCCCTAATGATAGACTGGGCGATTAGTTACACATGAGCTGGGGGCAAGGACGGTGATAAATAGGTTACACGTCGGAAGCCTGCGGGCATAACATTCCCCGTTTATGGGGAATCCAAGAACCGAGAAGTCCATTTACACAACGCAGGCCTTCCCACTGGTAACAACAACAATAACGATTATAATGGTGGTAAAAAAACAATAAAAAGGTCCAGCAGAATGAGGTGTTCTGTGGTAGACTTCTATTAACTTCCCTACCCCAATCATACAGGTGTACTATTGATACTACAAGGCATAATTTTGGTTGTTTTTCTCTCTTCCACAGTGTTCTGGAAGTTCATCCGGAGCAGAAGGAGCAGTCAAAGAGCCGTTCTTCTTGTCGGCCTTTGTGACTCTGGGAAAACATTGCTCTTTGTCAGAGTAAATGCTTTGATTTACCTCTCTCCTAAACTTAATGGGAAATTTTAGGCCATCCAGATATTGCTAGGAGGTCATAGTTCATTTTGGAAAGGAGGCTGATGGATGCTGATAACTTGGGGAGTTATTCTTGACTCACTTGAAAAGACTTGAAAAACTTGATAAGACTCTTGAAAAACTCATAAACTGCATATTTTTGGCCATTTCTATTTTCTTTCACTTGCCATACACTGATATTTAGTCCTTATCCCATTAGAGGGTTTTATGTAACCCTTCTCATGTGGTGTCCAAGGATGCTAGAAGAACGGAAGAGATAAAAGACAGAGATGTGTGTAGGGTGTATAATTTGTTGTGTAACAGACTCTTCTGAGAACTTGTTAAGGAAAATTTTTAAAAGATTGATTCTTTGACATATTGGACTACTTAGCCATCTTTTCACAAATACTTAATTAGTATTTTAAACGATTTTTTGTTACAGAGCATAGCAGAAGTTTTCTTCTTATTCTTCCTTTTGAGAGGATAAATTATTTCCTTTCTACTACAGAAATATAATTTATAGTCATTTGTGATGGTTAAAAATGTTTATGGAATGTTGGTAAATTTGGCCACTAACCATTTGAAAGTAGTCCCCCCCCCCCCGCCCCCACCCCATCCTTTCATTGTGGAGAGGGGAATGAAGATGCAATTAATTATAGATTTTTCTACAAGGGAAAAACAATATAGTCCTTTTCACTTGTTGCAAGAAATACTCCTTTATTTGACCCGACCCATCAGAGAGAACAAAATTAGTTTCTTTAGATTAGCTATATATTTACTCTGATCTTCCTCATATTGTTTTTTGTTTTTGTTTAACAGTTGTTAACTGGCCTTTACAGAGACACTCAGACGTCTATCACTGACAGCTCTGCTCTGTACAGAGTCAACAATACCAGGGTAAGGAGTTCTAGAATGTTTGAAGTCTGACAACTTTACTTTACTTTGGTCTGTCAGGAAAGGACATTTGTAGGATGAATTAGTCTAAGGGTGTAGGTACCATTCATACCTTATTTTTATGGATAAATAGAGTCCACGTGACATATTCTGCTCTCAGTCATCCAAGCCCCAGATTTAATCATACCATCCCCTGCTGTGTACCTCCTGCACACTCATGTTACATCACATTTTATTAGTTTTTGCTTTGTCTTCTTTCTAAATTTACCGTGAGTTCTTAAGGGTGAGCATTAAATCTTTTCTATTTTGAATAGGTAATATATGTAATGGGACAAAATTTCAAAAGGCTAAAAAGAATATTTGGTTTGTGGCACCTGGGTGGCCCAGTTGGTTGAGTGTCTGATGTCAGCTCAGTACATAATCTTGCAGTTTGTGAGTTCAAACCTGCATTAGTCTCTCTGCTGTCAGAGTAGAGCTTACTTTGGTTCTTCTGTCTCCTTCTTTGCCCCTCCCCCACTCATGTTTTTTCTCTCTCTCAAATAAATAAACATTTTTATAAAATAAGAGACTATTTGGTGAAAAGTAATTTTGCCTTTCCTGTCCCTGCTAGGTCTTCTCTTTAGAGGTAATAACTTACCATTTTACTGTGTACCCTTCAGATGGTCTATGTATATGCACATGTATCTGTGTACCCTTTAATTTTTCTCTTAAAGATTTTATTTCTAAGCAGTCTTTATTTTTAATTTTTTTTGTTTATTTATTTTTGAAGAAGAGAGACAGAGATAGAGTGTGAGCAGAAGAGGGGCAGAGAGAGAGACACAGAATCCAAAGCAGGCTCCAGGCTCTGAGCTGTCAGCACAGAGCCCAACACAGGGCTTGAACCCACAAACCGTGAGATCATGACCTGAGCCAAAGTCAGACTCTTAACCGACTGAGCAACTCAGTTGCCCCTTGAAGCAATCTTTATACCCAGCCTGGGGCTCAAACTCACAATCTCGTGATCAGGAGTCACACGCTCCATTAACTGAGCCAGCCAGGGACTTCAATTGTTTTCTTTTTTTCTAAATATTATTTTTGAGAGAGCGCACGTGTGTGTGTGTGAGTGAGGAAAGGGTACAAGGAGGGAGACAGGATCTGAAGCAGGCTCTCTACTAACAGCAGAGAGCCTGATGCAGGGCTCAAACTCATAAACTCTGAGGTGATGACCTGAGCCAAAGTCAGATGCTTAACCGACTGAGTTGCCCGGGTACCTCTTTTTTAATAGTCTGTTCTGCCCACTGTTTCTTGTTTTTTTTTTTTTTTTTTTTTTTTTTTTTTATTTTTTTTTTTTTTGTTGTGTTTTTTTTTTTTTTTTTATACACACAATGCTGCTTGGTTGATCTGTGAGCTGCACAGCATTTTATTTGTTGACTACCATTCAGTTAAGTTCTGATTTAATGAGAGTTCTGGTCACTGGCTGTTATACAGAAACCAACTTGATAGTTAACTAAGAAAAAATCAAANGCCAAAGTCAGATGCTTAACCGACTGAGTTGCCCGGGTACCTCTTTTTTAATAGTCTGTTCTGCCCACTTTTTTTTTTTTTTTTTTTTTTTTTTTTTTTTTTTTAACAATATGACTGATGTTGTTGGGTTTTTTCTCCCTCATTTATACACACAATGCTGCCTGGTTGATTTGTGAGCTGCACAGCATTCTATTAGGTGACTACCATTCAGTTAAGTTCTGATTTAATGAGAGTTCTGGTCACTGGCTGTTATACAGAAACCAACTTGATAGTTAACTAAGAAAAAATCAAATGGAGATTTGAAGAATTAGTGTGGAAAACGATAAAATATCTCATGAGTAATTTTTATATTGATTACATTTTGAAATGATATTTTCACTAATATCAACATCATATTTAATAATATGTTAGTTAAATAAAATATATAATAAAATTTTTAAAAAGCTCTTGATGAACATTTAGTTTGTTATAATCTTTTGCTTTTACAATGTTGCAATGGTTATCTTAAAGAGTGTACATGAGTATATTTCAAAAATACCAGTAAGGAATTGTGAAAAGGACTTTTTGTCTATCTATGTAGTCCCGGAATGTGGATAGTGACTGCCAAATCGATTATAATGCGTGATAAGTATTTGGTGAGTGGAGGAAAGGCTAGGGGGCTGGTTGGAGGGTAGATATATAGATGGATAAGTTAAAATGGTTATCTTAGAGACCTTTTCTCCTTTTCTGGTGCCTCTGGAATTAAACATTGTAAACAAAGATGAAGAAACATTCTTTTAAATGTCTTACAGAAATTTTTTTCATTTTTCAATAATAGCACTCTTTCTATCCCAGTCCTTTTTAAACTCTCAAGATTTTAGATTTTGAAAGTTCAGGTTTGGAAGCTCTTTAATTCTTGGAGCATTTGTGCCAGGTTTTTTAAGTGGGATACCCCAGGGTATACTTTAAACCTGTAGAATACCCGTTGGCCATGTGTAACTATTGAGCACCTCAAATATGACTAGTCCAAATTGAGGGGTGTTGTAAGTGTAAAGTATACACCAGATCTTAAACTTTGCATGAGGGGAAAAAAAAGTAAAATGTCAATAATTTCTTGATTTTATTTTTTACATGTTATAAAGATATTTTAGATATATTGGGTTAAATATAAAATTAACTTTACATATATCTTTTTTACTTTTTTAATACAGCTTTTGGAAAACTTAACATTATGTATGAAGCTTGCATATTTTTGTTTGGAATGTAGAACATTCCTCCCTTCTTTTTTTTACTTTTACTTCTCCCTCCCTCTCCCCCGCCCCAGTATGTTTTAGATCTAGTCCTCTCTCAATGTATCAGTAATATTCTTTCTGAATTGCTTATAGTGGTGTAGTGCTGATTATAAAATGTGGTAGTGGGTCCCAACCTGAGGTCTCTAGACTCTTAACAGTATTTTTTTTTTTTAATTAAAGCTAGCACACATAACTTTACCCATAAAAGACTACACAGACTAAGTGACAGGTCATAATGAATCCAGCTGTAATTATGTCACATCTGTGCATGACACCGACACCCTCCTGCTGAACAGTGGTTATGGCTGGCTTTGGATAAGGTAGAACTTTGGAGAAAGGTTCCATGGGCCTGATCAGTGTATCAGGATTATAGCAGAGAGTCTATGAGCAAAGCCATATCCACATTGAACCTGAGCTCAAGGCCTGGAGTGAATAGCCCTTAAGTGGATGCTTAATTAGTCAACTTAGGAGGGACACAGCCCCACCCTATTTCAATGTTTGACACAAAATATTGACATTTGGAACAAATAAGTTGTGTGTCTACTCGACATATTTAAAAATTATAGTGGAAATGTAAAGGAATGTTTTGTTACAAAGATTGGGGATCCCTGTAATGGTAGCATGCCAAGATAAAGTGTAGGTCATCTATTACTTTATTTACTTTGTGAACATTTACTACTATTTTCACATGTTTTTTTTTTTTTTTTTTTACAAATAGTTTATTGTCAAATTAGTTTCTACATAATATTTTCACATGTTTTTGTTTTTATTCATACTGGTATATTTCCCCAGCCTCATATGGACCACACTTCTGTGACTTCCCCCACAGGTCAGGTTTCTTATGTACCCTCAGAGCATTTATCAAAGTTGTAATTTTACATTTATATGTAATTTTAAATAATGTTGGTCTTTTTTTAGACTTTAAGTTTATTTATTTATCTTGAGACAGAACACATCTGCATGAGAGCACCTGAGCACTCAAGTCGGGGAGGGTAGAGAGAGGGAGAGAGAATCCCAAGCAGGCTCCAAGCTGTTAGCATAGAGCCTCATGTGGGGCTCGGTCTCCCGAACCATGAGATCATGACCTTAGCTGAAATCAAGAGTTGGACCCTTAATAGACTGATCTACCCAGGCACCCCTGTATTGATCTTTTATTATATTATATATTATAAACCCTGTTGGAACAAGGGTCATGTCTGTTTTTGCTCACTGTTAAATCCCTGGAGCCTCTACTAATGATTTATAAATAGAAGATGCTTTGTGAACTTTTGTTTGATTAATTAATTATGGTGAACATTTCTTTGGTTCATTAATAAATTGGACACTGTTCTAGTACTGGAAATCTGATATGAAAAGTTTATGTTGTGAATGTGAATCAGGACCACAGTATTCATTTAATGTTGTTTCTGCCATCCTTAGGGTACTAGCCTGACCTTGATTGATCTCCCTGGCCATGAGAGCTTGAGACTTCAATTCTTAGAACGTTTTAAGGCTTCAGCCAGGTAAGTAGGATTTAGAGTGAACTTGCCTAAATCTATATATCAAGGTCACCCATATTTGCCCTGGTGGTATTCAGGAGGCAGTCCAGTGCCCTACAGGGGGAAGCATGGACTAAGGGTCGACCATTTCTGGTTTGCAAGCCCACCTTTACTAGGATTTTATGAGGATTGTATGAGATGATTGAAAGTATTTCTCCAGAGTGTTCAGAAAGTTAACGCTTACCATGTTAATAAAATTTTCATTTCCTTTGAGGACGAATTGTAATTATGTGTAGAACTATTAAAATCTGAAAAAGGAATTTTAAAACTACGTGAAATCCTAGAAGTTATTTAATTTGAACATTACATATTTCTGTTTCTAAATTACCCAAATTTAATGGCTCAAAAGTACAAAACAGTATTTTTTATTTTTTTTATTTTTTTTTTTTTACAAATAGTTTATTGTCAAATTAGTTTCTACATAACACTCAGTGCTCATCCCCAAAGTGCCCTCCTCCATGCCC